GTGTACTCCTCCTCTCACCCTCACTCTTCTTCTGACTCCTTCCATTTTGGTTGAAGGCAGGTGAACCTACCTGCTGCATTTTTATAGTGCTTAAACCTGATTGGTGTGTCTACAATTTAGCAATCTGATGGCTGTGTTTAACAGATTGGCTCATAGGTGTGGTAATTTGACAGTCAGTGCTTTGGAATTGCAAGGAAGTGACATCATGATATACTTCTGTGTCTGATGTATACAAGTGTGTTTAATGCTTTGGGAATCACTGTGTGTAATGTTTTGCAAATAGTGTGAAGCTGACAATGTGCTTACAGTTGTGCAAATCTAGCCTTGTGTTTTGCTCCTTGAGTGTAAGGTTTTGCTAATTGTTGGAAAAGTTTAATTTTAGTGTGTAAGCAATCGTAAAAAACTGTAATCAATACAATATAATTTTTTCTGTAATGTTCTGGATGCTGTGTTCTCCATTTTTCTCTATAGTATTTGATTGACTCATGTGTGTATGATCTGAGAGCACTGTTTGATTTTGAGTACAGGTGAAATGGTTTTGCAGTGATTGTTTGATTTTGATGGAAGAGTCAGAGGTTTCGTGAATTTAGTTTGAATATTTGGATTTGTGTTTAAGGTTTTGAGAAAATGAGTGATGTTTTCAAGAAATGCTTTAGCGATTCAGAAAAACTGTTTTTTATGTATATATATATATATATATATATATACAGGTGCATCTCAATAAATTAGAATGTCGTGGAAAAGTTCAAATATAATGTGTGTGTACTTGTTTATGCTACATTGTGGGGACCAAATTAGGGGTTAGGGGATTGGACATGTTGTTTTGTCAGTTTAAAATCAATAGAGGTCTATGGAAAGTCCCCACAATTCACAGAAGCAAACGTGTGTGTGTGTGTGTGTGTGTGTGTGTGCGCGCCTGTTTATGCTACATTGTGGGGACCAAATCTATGGAAAGTCCCCACAATTCACAGAAACGTGGGGGGGGGGACTTGATCATGTTTAATTAGAACCATTTCATTTACACTGGGTTACCACTGTGATGAAGAGTGGAGATTTTGCTTAGGCAGGTATAAAATATGATTTGCAAAATAAATATATGGTCTATAAAGGTTCATTTTGTTCTGTGCATACTGTACCACCCCTTTAAAACCTCTGCTAACAAAAGTTTAAAATTACTGACAGTCAGAGAACAAGACAAATAATACAAGTTAAACTAAATGGCAATGAAACTAATCAAATCCCCCATATGTTCCACACATTTCCAACAGATGTGAATATTTAATTTCCACAGGTACGATTTCCTTCACACTTTAGCTCAGACCTGAAGGATCTTCTGCGCAATCTGCTGCAGGTGGACCTCACAAAACGCTTTGGCAATTTGAAAAATGGAGTCAGCGACCTCAAAAACCACAGATGGTTCGCTACAACAGACTGGATTGCAATCTATGAGAAGAAGGTGTGGCCTTTTGTTTTTTACATTCAGGTTTCAATTTAATAACTGCCTCTTGGGAACTGCTCTTTTGTAAGCTAGTGGATTTTTTTAAATGATTTTACAGATTGATGCTCCCATCATACCAAAGTGCAGAGGACCTGGAGACACAAGTAACTTTGATGAGTATGACGAGGAAGACATCCGGGTCTCGGTCACAGAGAAATGTACAAACGAGTTCTTGGAGTTTTAGGATTTCTGTAAAGGCTTTAGTAGAAGGTTGTTTTGTCTTGTTATGCATCTTCAAAGTTGAATCCAAGAACATCACAATTCCTTCCACAGTGCTTTATTCAAAGAGATTTGGAAATTCAAGTTCCAAGTTTCAAGTGTAGTCTACGGCAGCATTAAAAAAAAGTGATTTTTTTTTTCACTTGTGTTACACATTAAGGAAAAGTAGCCTATATGTTCCGTATTAATACATGAGAAAAACTCAATTATTATGTTTTAAGTGTGTGTGCACGATATGTGGAATATGTGTGCCAAAGAAAGCGATTGGTTGTTCAGAAATATCAAAAGATGAAGAAAGTTTTTCAAAAATCAAGTAAAATATCTCCTTAAACAGTGGTAATATTAATCCTATATGATCCTGATATTCCATATAAAGTCTTGAATGGCACTGAAACGTAATGAAAAGATGCCTTTTGATATGTGCACCTTCTTATATGGACCGTGTGAAAACTTTTATTTTTACGAAAAATTGTATATCTGCTGTAGAGATTATGATGCCCAATTTTGGGACAACTTATTTTGACACTGAATAAAAGAAAATTATTTACATTGCTTTATAATGTCCAATGCCTTTTGTCACGCCTGTTTGTCTGGGAGTACTGTTGTGAGTATAATTGTAAAAGATGCTCATGTTTTGTTGTTGTTTTGAAAGCTAAATCTCTGATGACATTAGCATGAGAAACTCTGATTGGTTAACGTATAATGCAGTGCATATATAAAACAGCTCTGGATGCCAGTTGGTTATATATTCCACAATACAGTACAGGTAACAGCTTTGTCCTATTCACCTTATCTCTGCGCAGGTCCCATAGTTCAGTCGCAAGGCCTCTCATGCTTGATTGCATTATGTTGCATGTGCATTTATTAATTTGACACAAACTCATTCAGTGCATCCTACACATTGTGAATAAACAAAAGCTATCAAAAGTATTGATTTATCATGTGCAGTAATAATACAATTTCAGTCATTTATAATGGAAGAAAGAAAAGAACACTTTTTAAAATGTAATAAACAACTTTTTTTGTTTTTCAGCCTGTTTTTGTCAAATAGTGTTTTTTTTAAATCATCTTTAAAATCACCAGGCGTGATTAGGGAAGTATGATTCAAGATTGGATTTATCAGGTGACTGCAATGTTTCGTAAAGGCTATAAATACAAACATTTTTGTTCCAAAGAAAAGAAACATTACATTGCAATTTTGTTTTTACTTTTTTAAAGATAATTGTGTTGGTTTTAAAATATGGTTAATTGTGAATTTACTCATTGTATCAAAAGTATTGATTTATCATGTGCAGTAATAATACAATTTCAGTAATTTATAATGGAAGAAAGAAAAGAACACTTTTTAAAATGTAATAAACAACTTTTTTGTTTTTCAGCCTGTTTTTGTCAAATAGTGTTTTTTTTAAATCATCTTTAAAATCACCAGGCGTGATTAGGGAAGTATGATTCAAGATTGGATTTATCAGGTGACTGCAATGTTTCGTAAAGGCTATAAATACAAACATTTTTGTTCCAAAGAAAAGAAACATTACATTGCAATTTTGTTTTTACTTTTTTAAAGATAATTGTGTTGGTTTTAAAATATGGTTAATTGTGAATTTACTCATTATATATGGGAAATGTAAAAAAATTATAATTTTACTCAGAAGAAATAGGATAGGTCACTACCTTCACACATTAACAGAAACAAGATGTATCAAATCAAAAAAAAAATTAAAAGCTGTTCAACTGTCCGTTGTAAGTAATGCATGTTAACAGCTTGTCAAGATGCTGATTTACCTTTTTTCTTTATTCATTTTTCTTGATGTAGGCTAACTGATAATTGCTATAATTGCATGTTCATTGTTGAAGAGATTTGCAACAAGATTGTGAACAACTACATTTCCCATCGTTCGAGACTACATTACCCATAAAGCCCCGCGCCTGCATTGGTCGGATTGTGCTTGAGGAAAAAAAGCGTAATATTGTTCCAATGATCGAGAATCAATAACATTCAAACCGTCTACATAAAACATCTGTTAAATTGGTAAGATACAAGCTTTTCATCCAAATAATTGGAAATTGTCGTTTTGTTTTCTCAGAAAGACGGCAAATGTCATAAATGTTGAGTTAATGGAAGCTAGCTAGCTAATGAGTTTATCATCTGCTTTATTAATCATCCCACTGTCGAAATTCATCATGAAAACACTTGTAATATATTAAATGGATATTTTGATGATCCAGTACTTCTGTTTAGCCAGACAGAATACAGCTTCAGTGACAGATAACATTTAGTCTTGCTATAAAAACTATCATACGGCATTTTTTCAATTATTAAAAATCAAGGACACTTTATTTACAATAAATTATTAAATACCTTATTTACAATTAAAAATCAGTTTTTTGCTTTAAGAATTATGGCTGTCATTTGGTTAATCGTGTTTCTCTTCATAGACACCGAACCTGTCAAACCTCAAATGCTTATTTAATTTCTCATAACTGTGATGTTTTGCTCATTATATTTGCTCAAGCTGTTTTGCCAATTTAATAGCTGTTTATTTCAAAATAGCGATGATAGTCGTTTTATAATAATGACAGTAATATTAATATATTTTGTTTGTTAATAATAAATATATATATATATATATATATATATATATATTATTTTTTTTTTTTGACAGATAACCTTAGTGTTTGCAATGCATTTAACAGTTTCGCATGTTTAACATTTCTCTCTTGTCTGTTTTGTGGTCCTAAACTTTTCGGTTTGTCATCTTTTTGATTGCTCAGATCTTTTATTATTTTGCAGAATCAATTCTCTAAGTTTATTCATAAACTTGTGAAGATTTCTGGAAGATGGGGCAGCTTTGCACCGCAGGAGACTGATGAGGAGGGAATGAGCAGGACATGAGGAAACAACTCGACACGTCTAATGGAATAGAGCTCTCTGACATACAGGTGAGCAATAAATCAGATTAATAAGATTATTGTTGTTCATATAAAAACAGAGCCTCTGTTATGCACCTCAAGAAATTATTTAGAATTTGCTTAAACATGACACAGTTTATTGAATTTTAGTAATGCATTTCCCATACTGTAGTATTTCTTAAAGGGGTCATATGATGCGATTTCAATTTTTCCTTTCTCTTTGGAGTGCTACAAGCTCTTGGTGCATAAAGAAGATCTGTAAAGTTGCAAAGACTAAAGTCTCAAATCCAAGAGATATTCTTTATAAAAGTTAAGAGTCAACCACGTTTACCTAAAACGGCTCGTTCCAACACGCCCCCACATGTCTACGTCACTATGTGGGAAGATTTGCATAACGCCGCCCAAATGTAGTATTGTTGACGCTGCAGCCATGTCCTGAAGACGCTGTGTGCTTCGATGTGAAAGTGAAACTACTTTGTTTGGTCTTCCAAAAGAGGACGATATCCGCTTCGTCATGCCTAGAGCTGATCTGGATGGGTGCCTTTTTATTTGACTTTTTTTGGCCTGATGCATGCAACACCCGCTGAGCGGCAAAAACACTCTTGTTTATGCTGAAAAACAGTGTCGTCTTGGCTTAAAAAAAAAACTCCCATATTCTTGTGTGCTGTTACAGAGATTTGAGAGTTCTCTGGACACCTATTTTAGTGGTATTTTACAGTAGATTTAAAGAGTTGGTTCACCCTAAAGTGAAAATGACTCTCCCTCATGTCGATTCAAACTGCTTGATTTATATGGATTTATTTTATGATGTCTGTATGCACGTTTTGAAGTGTCAGAGTTCTAATGGAGGGAGAAGAAATCGCTCAGATTTCATTAAAAATATCTTCAATTGTTTGAATTGAGATAGTCTTATGGGTTTGGAACAACATGAGATTGAGTAAATTATTTTTGGGTGGAATTATGCTAATGCATCAGTGAAAACTTTTTCTGTCCCTAACAGTTCTGTGGAGAATGGGCAGCTTTCTGATCCAGCCCACTGGGCCGTAGCAGATGTGGTCAATTATTTTAAAGCTACAGGGTTTGAGGAGCAAGCCAACGCTTTCCAGGATCAGGTAGGAATTTGTTGTCATAATCCTAAATCTTATTTGCTGCACCTTTTTTTTTTTATATATATATATATATATATATATTTCTACATCCTAACTAGATTCAGAGTTTCTTCTGCTCATCAAGGCTGCATTTATTTGATCAAAAAATACAGGGAAAAAATTTAATATCGTGAAATATTATTATGATGTTGTAAAATAAAGATTTTCTATTTTAATATACATTAAAATCTAATTTATTCCATTCTAATATGCTGATATATTATCAGTGTTAGAAACTGTTGTGCTGCATAATATATTTTTGTGAACCTGTGATACTTTTTTCCAGGATTCTTTCATGAATAAAAAGTTCAAAAGAAGAGCATTTATTTAAAATATAAATATTGTCTAAGAATATACACTACCGTTCAAAAGTTTGGGGTCAGTACATTTTTATTCTTTCTTTTTTTATTCAGCAAGGATGTGTTAAATTGTTAAGAAGTGATAGCAATGATTCATATTGTTAGAAAATATTTCTATTTTTAATAAATGCTGTTCTTTTTAACTTTTTATTCATCAAAGAATCCTGAAAAAAGTATCCAAAAGTTTCCAAAAAAATATTTGGCAGCTCAACTGTTGCCAACATTGATAATTCTAATAATAAATCAGCATATTAGAATGATTTCTGAAGGATCATGTGACACTTTATACTGGAGTAATGGCTGATGGAAATTCAGTTTTTGTAAATATTTCTACATACTAACCAGATTCATATGATATAATAGTCTGAATATATATATACTGTATATATATATTTTTTTTTTTGCTTATTTAATAATTTAAGTCATTTTGGAGAAAACTTTGAAATGAATAAATGTTCATAACAGAAAAAGCAATAGACATTCTTGTCTATAACATTCTTGACTGAACGAAATAAGTCATTATTTTTCCAACCATTAGAAATGCAGTGACATTTTATCCTTGCATTTCTCCCGAACATTTCTCGAAAGGTCTGACCCCCAGTTCTCAACAAAAAGAATGTACAGTAATAACATGGTTTGTATTTACATTTTTGAGGCAATAAATTATTTGTTGAGCTAATCTTTATTATGTATGATATACTTTAGATCTGGAATATTAAACTATATAACTATAACTACATGCCTTTTTCATGTTTATCTCTCATTTATCTGATCAGTGGAGCAGTGCTTCATCATTTTATAAGACAATCACGTTATCAATAGATAATATAATTTTATTATTTATCTCCTGTCTTTTTTGCTCAACTTTCCCCGACAGGAAATCGATGGCAAATCCCTTTTATTAATGACTCGAAATGACGTTCTGACCGGACTGTCAATAAAACTGGGTCCTGCACTGAAGATCTATGAGTATCACGTCAAGCCTCTCCAAACCCAGCACTTAAAAGGTAACGTCTCATAGCTGCTGCAGCCACATGGACGCATGGAAGACAATCACAGCAGGGGCGCAGGGTAACTGCACGCAGAACTAATACATTTTATGCATCTTAATAAATAAACATGGTGAATTTATTGCTTTTAAGGTCTCATTCTGCTGTACAGGTATATTTACTGTTTTTAGTTTACCTACGTTTAACATGTTCATTCAGATTTTACCTTCACTTCGTGTGCTTGTACATAAATCATTATTGCTTTTAAGTTTAATAACGGGATCTGTGATGAAAAATGGCTTGAACTAAAATTGAAAGTTTCTGTGTACCGCATGAAGTGCTTTTGAATGGAAATGAGAGGGAGGTTGCCGCCGCAGTTGTGATTTTTATCGGTTTGTTGATGTTTATTTTTCCTTTTGGGTTTTCTGGTTTTTAATAGATAAAAAGTGTGTTGAGATAAAGTAACCGCACAAATGATCAAATGTCTGAAAACTATGTATTTGCTGTGGTTTACAGCTATAAAGGCTCAACGCATTAGGGCTTTGTTTGCAGGAATCCTGTCAGAATGACAGTGCTTTGTGCTGCTATAAATTCTGTTTATTTATTTCATTCTGTAACTAACAATGTGATTCCTGATGAATTGGTGAATTGTTGTTTTTGAAAGCCAGCACAACACTGTAAATCTGCAGCGGTTTGGGGTACAGGGTGTTTTAAAAGATGAAACAAAAGTGAGTGTAGACTGCAATAAATGGTGCTTTTTCAGACTGCTAAAAAATCCACATCCTGGTCCTCATTACAGTGCTATGTGACTTCCTTCCTTTTGTGTGTATGTGGTATTTGATTAATATCTAAAAAAAAAAAATGGATCATTAAATGTAATAATCAATTTTCCACTTAAAACCAATCTCCTTAAACAATGAAATCCCAGATATGTTACATGCATGTTTATCCGATTCAGTTTTCTTTCTTTTTTTTCTAAACTTGATTCCTTATTATAGTAAGGTGTGATGATTTTAATTGTGTTGTTTACTCCAAAAACACTGCTGTAAACACCTTTCAACTCCAGACAAACTGAAATTTTATTCAAATCTAAATTAAAAAAAATTATAAATGAATTCAAACAGAAGTTATGAACACTTACACATTTTTGGACTATATTTATTAATATATTTATCTGAGATGAGAATGATGTTTTCATTTCAACAGTTTTCTATTTTTTATTTTACTTGTGTGATTACACAAAAAATACATGTTTCTAAGTTATAAATTAAGTTTGTTGAATGTTTAGACAGATAATCATGCCTAACTTGAGATTGCTTTTACAGGGTTTATTTATAAGATGTCTGGTTTGTGAATGTTGTATTTCTTTTTCTTTACATTTTGGCTCGTGGTTTTCTGCGTATAGTGCCTGTGATGTTTCCTGATGGATTATCAAGCGGAAGATAAACCTGAAATGAAAGCACAGCAACACATTGTGACGTGAATTTAAAATATAAATACAATCAAAGCAACATCATTACTTTATTATCTCTAAGTTGGGATAGCAAAACATCCTTCTCCTGCTCCTTTGTGTGGTTTGTAAAAGTTTGGCAATAAAGTCATTTTAAGAGTAGCAGTCTCACAAGTCCTGATTTTGTCACAGAGCCTGAAAACTCTAGACTTTGTCCTTTGTCAATAGAGAAGTATATTCAGACCGATCTGAACTGATAACCTCTGTTTGACTGACTCTTTTTTCCAATGGATTTCTGTCACTCACCTCATCCTTGTTTGAGAGTCCAATCTTTGTCATGTCAATGACAAAGTAATGCTGATTCGGCATAGTTATCTCAATTTCTTCAACCTACGGGATCAAAGTGATGACGAGACTTTTTGAGTTTTTTTTACATTTACTTTCAAGTATACTTATAAATGAGTAACCGAAAGCAATAAACCACCAATAACTTAAGTATGAACAATAGTAATGCTTACCTTAGGAAACACTATTAACTCAAATCTAATGACTGAATGTAAATGTAAAGTCACACAAAACTGAAATCGGTTTGAGTTACCTGCGGAATTCTGTCAAGCACCAGAACTTGTGTTTCATACAGAGTTTTCTGAACAGAAGGAGAGTATTCCCCACGATCGTAGGGTCCTGCAAATGTCTGAATGATGGTGTCCTTAACAGTTTTCCTACAAGGAAATTGTCATTACAGTAAGCTATAATACACAGTACAGCCTGTAATAGAACATATAACATATCATGTGCTATAGAATGTCTAAATGTTTTGCATTTACCATGCAGCATCAAACGCCACATTCACATGAGTGTTGTAGCGCCATCTTGCATAAACAGAAGTGCAGAAGAATCTGTCCTTTGCATCTGTCAGAGTGGTGAAACGGTCCCGTAGGAAGCCTTCAAATCCAGACTGAGTAGTCTTCAGTACCTTCATATCTTTTATACCGCTGTGAACTACTGGAGTCACTGATAAAAAATATATATATACTTGCTGAAATAAAGCAGGAATATACTTTCCCCTTAATACTTTCAGACCACCATCACTAGTTCAGAATCTCATTTTTACTCACTACTCAAATGTTGTTCTACCTCACAGAAGTGCCTGGCCTCTGGGCAATGGATGAAAGCATGTGTGTGCTCGACTCCATTCTGTTAAACATATATTAATAATATTTTGGGTATTAAATATGTGTTAATAAGCTATATGATGCTAGTCAATAAGTATTACAGTGTAGTTAATAAAATGTAATGTATTTAATAAAAATCAATTCTATAATTTAAACATTTATCAAACAAAATGGCATCTGCAAATAATTCAATGCTAGAGCATGCTTTTCTGTTGTTGTTGTTGTTGTTTTTTTTTCATTTATCTTTCAGTGACTGGTGTCAAGGTGATTTTTAGTGGATGTTTGAAGTCAGATCCATTTAGGCCTAAGTTGGCTAGTCCAAGCACCAGAGTTACTACAGGTGTAGTCAGCTATATGATGCTAGTCAATAAGTATTACAGTGTAGTTAATAAAATGTAATGTATTTAATAAAAATCAATTCTATAATTTAAACATTTATCAAACAAAATGGCATCTGCAAATAATTCAATGCTAGAGCATGCTTTTCTGTTGTTGTTTTTTTTCATTTATCTTTCAGTGACTGGTGTCAAGGTGATTTTTAGTGGATGTTTGAAGTCAGATCCATTTAGGCCTAAGTTGGCTAGTCCAAGCACCAGAGTTACTACAGGTGTAGTACATCAAATAAACCCAGAAAGTTTCCAAAGTTATATCAGCTATCCCATGGGGTGCCTCAGGGTTCAGTTATTGGTCCCCTTCTCTTCTCGACATAGACCACCTCACTCAGCCCAATAATAAAAGTAAACAGCTATTCCCATCAGTGCTACACAGATGATATACAGATGTCATTCCAACCTGGCACTATCTGGCACTATCTCAGATTGTATTTCTGCTTGCGATTCAGGCATTTTGGCCTGGGTGAAGGGATGCCACCTTCAGCTTAACTTTGCAAACACAGAACTCCTGGTCAGCCCAGCTAGACACTTCTTTTTAAAGACACTTTTAAAATAATAATAATAATTAAAATTAGTTATTTATTTATTTATTTTATAAACTTTTCTGATCTTCTCTAGCTTTGGATCTCTTGCAGTACCGTGGGTATTGTTGGCTTTTGTATAATAAATTACTTGTGATGTTCCTCATTCCTAATTGTTTTACTAAATTACTAAATACTTTTTGGGAGTCACTGTATATATTCTGCTTTAGTGGTAACACAACACCTTTTCCAGCCTTTTCCAGGGAACTTCATCAATGTTGACCCTCACTCTTGTGACATGATTGAACGCTGTTAGGAAATGTTCGCAGATATCCAGGGCAAAGCCCTCAATGGTCTTAATCTGCAAGACAAGAAATATCCTGTGCTTTGAGGCATACCATCATGGCTTAATTTAACAAAACATTAACTGTTTAATTGCAAGACGACTTAACTTCATTTAATAATCATTTCATAGAATACATTAGACATTCTTGTTAATTATCTAAAGTAATGTTGGTTGGCAATCACTCTAAAAATGCATATGTAGCTGTTTCTACTTGAACTGTGGTAGTTATATTAAATATTTGACTTCTAGGCTAATTTATAACATGAAGTACCATATTATGTAACAAAAATTATTTTTACAATGTAATTTGTGTTTGCTTTCATTTATATTTGGGGAAGACAGTTATGAATATACTGTAGGTAAAATAAGTAAGGTGCAGGGGCTAAACTAAATGAATAAAAGGACCTACTCCTTTTAGTTTGGCGAGAGCGTGTTTAACAAAACATTAACTGTTTAATTGCAAGACGACTTAATTTAATAATCATTTCATAGAATACATTAGACATTCTTGTTAATTATCTAAAGTAATGTTGGTTGGCAATCACTCTAAAAATGCATATGTAGCTGTTTCTACTTGAACTGTGGTAGTTATATTAAATATTTCTTTAATACTTCTAGGCTAATTTATAACATGAAGTACCATATTATGTAACAAAAATTATTTTTACAATGTAATTTGTGTTTGCTTTCATTTATATTTGGGGAAGACAGTTATGAATATACTGTAGGTAAAATAAGTAAGGTGCAGGGGCTAAACTAAATGAATAAAAGGACCTACTCCTTTTAGTTTGGCGAGAGCGTGGACAGTGTTTTTGATGGTGTCAGTGGGGATGATATCAGAGTTGTCTCCTGTCAAGTAGTCTTTGCGCGTCTTCAGGGTTAACTGAACGTCTGCAATCAGCTCAGTAATATGGTGATGAATCCCTTCACGGCGAATGTGAAAAACTTTAACCATATTCTTCCCATAGCCTGTTCTCACAAACTCCACATTCTACATGAGATATGTTATTAAATAATATTGCAGTTCAAATTCATTTTTTAAAGAGGCTGGTATGCATCCACACACATACAGTATGAATGAAAAACAAATTTCTTTACCTGATTTGAGGTAGTGGCCATGACTGTAACTGGAGTTACTGACTGCAACTGTGGTTGGAGGTGGTTTTGGAGGGAGCAAAGGGTTTTGCTGAGGAGGTGGTGTCACATACCAGTTTTGATGTTTTGGGTCCAAATGATCAATGATCTGCCCCACCTCCATAAACCTCTACAGAGATTTTGATTTGCTGAAAGCCCTCCAAAACAAGCCACCTCTCCTCACCTACTAATGTCTGCCACATAAAGGTTTTGAGGACTCTCAGTTTAGGTGTCTTGCGCATATTGTATAATTCATTCAAAGAGCAAACATTCACCGGGATAACGATGAAACTATTGCATTTCAAGCATTTGCTGTGAAATCATCACTGATTATACTTAAGTAAACATAAGAATAACATTTATATTGTTAGTAATATTTTAAGACAAACACTTACTGGGATGAAACTTATACTTCATAATCAATAATTTTTTTTAAAGAAAAATCATGTTTAATTGTAGCAAATTTGATACATGAAGTTCCCTATCGCTGCTTCACTCGTACCCTATCGTCTTCTTGCTTAAGACGCTATGGGAAAACTCAATTTTCTCAGATGACTGAAGCCTTATCAATAACGCAGTGTAACTGCACGGTCATTGGATCGTGCAGTAAATTAAAAACGAACCAATGGCAACGAAGCCCACCAGAGCCCACCAGAATGGGCAGGGCCATCTGGCTATGTAAGCGGGCATTTCGCCATAGCATCCTAAGATTTCTTCTCCTTCAGCGACGACTGCAAGATCTTCGCCCTACGAGACTCGAAGCCTTCGCCGTGAACAAGCCTCGCAGCGGATCTAGACCCCTTCCTGCTTCCTGTCTTCCGGTCCCCTGCTGCCATCCGGCGATTTCTCTATTAGAGCAAATTACTAAGAGCAAATTTTCTCTGCATTGTTACAAATGCAGCGCTGTTATTGTCGCTCCTGCACGCCGCTGACAAACACTACGAGTGTGTTTCATGCTTGGGCACCACCCACGCTGAAACTGCATTTACTGAGATGGAATGTCCTCATTGCGAGGATATGAGTCTTGCCTCTCTACGCACACGGTTAGCTTTCTTTTCAGAAAGCGACTCTGCCCCTCGCGCCCTCCTGCTTCCTTCCTCCCAGAAACCTGTGAGGAAAAAGCAGCGGGGCAGAGGAACTCGACGCTCGGAGACCAGTGAGCCCACACCGGCTGAGCCCCCGCATACCTCCCTCTCTCCTCATAGAGAGGTTTCTCCTGTCAGTTTCGCTCACCCGGACCGGCTGGGAGCGATCTGGTCTCATTTGGTGGGAGCGATTGCGATGACATGGACGACAGAATGTCTCTGGCAGCTTCAGATGCAGAGGAACTGTCGGGCTTGTCCAACGACCCCGCCATCTGCACAGCCCAGCGCAGCCAGCACAGGCATGGATGCCGAACTGTTCCGCGTCCTGTCTAAAGCTGTGGAGGAGCTGGGTTTGGAGTAGTCTCCTCCTGAGAAACCCACCCGCAGCTGCCTGGATGAATGGTTCTTGCCGGGGTGCCGTCAGGCCCCTTGTCAACGGGCTTCACCATTCTTCCCTGAGGCCCATTACGAGATCACCAGATCTTGGTGCGCCCCCTACTCCCTGTCCGTTTCGCTCACCCGGACCGGCTGGGAGCGATCTGGTCTCATTTGGTGGGAGCGATTGCGATGACATGGACGACAGAATGTCTCTGGCAGCTTCAGATGCAGAGGAACTGTCGGGCTTGTCCAACGACCCCGCCCCCCCGCCATCTGCACAGCCCAGCGCAGCCAGCACAGGCATGGATGCCGAACTGTTCCGCGTCCTGTCTAAAGCTGTGGAGGAGCTGGGTTTGGAGTAGTCTCCTCCTGAGAAACCCACCCGCAGCTGCCTGGATGAATGGTTCTTGCCGGGGTGCCGTCAGGCCCCTTGTCAACGGGCTTCACCATTCTTCCCTGAGGCCCATTACAAGATCACCAGATCTTGGTGCGCCCCCTACTCAGCCCGCTTACGTGCCTCTTCTTCGCCCTTCGAAATGAGGGCGGTAGTCGCGCCAGAACGTGCACTGGCCATTCAGCAGGTCACGGCCTCATTCAAAATTGGAGCCTCTCGCCCTCTCAAGGCATTTCAAAAGATGCTGGGCCTCATGGCCTCCGCGTCTCCAGTACTTCATTTGGGCCTGCTTCACATGCGGCCCCTTCAGTACCGGCTGAAACCGCGTGTTCCGCCCCATGCCTGGTGTCTCAGACGCCTTTGTGCCAAGGTGGGCCATAATCTGGACATCCTGGCCTTACAGGCCCGGGTCCTGTCTGTATAACGGGCTCACTCTTGTCATATGGCAAACAAGTGTTTTCTGGCGTTAGCCTTCTTCCTGTACGCTCTTGGCCCTCACTGAGTTCCGAGGCTGTACAAAAATTATCTTGGCACGATTACTCAAGGCCGAGCTGACCTCTAGGAGTTTGGCCCTATTGCCTCCTTTTCCTGCAAAATACTTTGTCCCTCTGGGCCCCTTTCTTGTGCTTAAGGCAAGTTCAAGTATTGTCGTTCCTCTAGCATAGCATGGCGGGATTGTACTGGTTCCCCATAGCGTCTTAAGCAAGATGCAGTACGAGTGAAGTATCGATAGGGAACGTACTCAGTTACTAACATAACATCGGTTGCTGGCCGTGCTATGTAGCTGACTCAGTCGTCGCTTCAGTCGAAGTAACCTGAGGATCCTATGCCTGTTTATATAAGGGCCTTTCGCACCGCAGGAACCTTTTCATAGTACCAGAACTAATTGTGGAACTACCCCCTTTTCGGCGTGTTCGCACTGCCGGAACTGGGAGCGATTTTAGTACCGGACTGCCTTTTTCGAGAACCAAATTAGCTCCTACTCCGGAGCAGAGTCTAACCAGCACAACTGGTACTAATCGTGACGCAAGTAGACATTGATTGGCCAAACGCGTATGAAAACGCCCTCACCCGCCATGATTTAAAACTCCGTGTAAACATACTGTAAGCATGTCAACTTACTTCGCAAGTATGGAGAACAGAGATAGATGGACGGACGCTGAAGTGAAGGCACTTGTAGCAAATGTAGCACTGCCAGTTGTCGTTGGAGATTCTTAGTCCTCCTTCCCGTTCTTTCAATCGCTTTACGTATACGTCGACTTTCCATGTCCATTATTGTGAAACCCGTGAGACACAACAAAACACAGCTCCGATCACAGCGTCCTCCATCCTCCTGTTGTTAATGCACAAATGACGTCGCTGTCGACCGGCTTACGTCACTTCTTAATACACACTGTCGGTGCGAATGCAACCCTTTAAATGGTACTGGACAATAGTTTGCGCAAAATCGTCCCAGTACTTTAATACCGTACGTTTAGTTCTGAAACTAAAGCGGTGCGAAAGGGCCTATAGCCAGATGGCCCCGCCCATTCTGGCGGGCTTCATTGCCATAGGCTCGTGCAGCTCCGCTATTACACAGTTACACTGCGTTATTGAAAAGGCTTCAGTCATCGGAAAAACAGGTGTTTTCCCTGTAACGTCTTAAGCAAGACGCAGTACTTGTTCCCATATCTTAGGGAACCGAGGTTACGTAAGTAACCGAGTACTTTTTTTTTTTAAACATTCGTTTATCTCTAAATTATAAATTTATTGCACTGCATTATATGTTTTGCCCACCACAAAAACTGTTGACCATAAAAACGAAGCATTTAAATATCATCTTAATCATATTATTGGGATATATAGAGTGACAACTAATATTTCTATGCATTTTATGTAAGCAGTATTGCTGTGCTGTTATAAAGAGCTTGATTTACATTATCAGAATATCTTCTTTGGCCATATGGCAACTGCACCAATAAATCAAATTTCCTCCTCGAGTGTGAGCTATATATTTAATGTTGCTGCAGATTACAGTACTTTCACTTTTCAGTCCAACAGCTCAGTCTATGTGCTTTACGGTGATGTTCCACCAGAACTGAAGAGCCAAACAAAATATATCGATTTTATAGTAGTTTTTATATTATATTTAATATAGAATAAATATATTAGACTCTGTCAAAAGTTTAAAAAAAAAATTACATACTTAAGACTCGTATTTCATATGTTAGACTTTACAGAGTTTATTCATAAATAATGAATTTACGCTGGTAGTGGAGTAGATTTTAACATCATCACTCATATTACTTAATTTACCGACTTTTACAGGTTTTAGGGAAAAATTCTAGATTTTTAAACAACCAGATTTTCATTTCCCCAGTCCCTGCTATATTCAGGCCGCTTCTCTGTCACTAGATTACAGCTGCATGATGTCGGTCATAAGACAAACTTCCTCTTTTTGACATTAGAGCAGCTATTTTGACTTCACAGCTTGGAATATGATAGAAAGCGTCTCTCTCTGTTTTTATTTAAGCAGGAAATACAGATGTTTTATTCAGCGATCAGAGATGTTAATGTTGTTTCGACTCTCTGTGTATATATTGTTGTTTTTTATCAGTTTCTCAGAGGCAGTGATATCCTGTTTAAATGAGGATGGTCAGCCTGTTGACTGGTAGGATGAAATCTTTGCTTTCGGGTTTAGGATTAGTTTATGAAAACATGTTTGACAGTTGTTGTTGAAATCAATATTATAGCTATTGTATGCACTGTAAACTGTTATGTGCATCATATTATTCAATGTTTTATAGTATTGTAACTCTCACATATTCTTTTAAAAGGTTCATTATTTACAAACTTCCCATTTACAAGATGGAAGTTAAGGGAAGTGGAGTGGATTACATGTATCTGGATCCATCCGTCATGGATTTTCAGATGAGTAAACATACAGTCAACAGCAGTAAAGGAGCTTTAGGTAGAACACTGACACAGCTTTACTCCAGATATACAGTAAGATGCTCTTTGAATACTAATATATTACTAATATATATTACTGTAACAGTTCCCACAATGTTTAGGACTGTTACAGAAGTTAATTAAAAGACACTTCAAATCTTTCCAATTTATTTGACAGATGTTATACTGTAGTGTGCATCAATAACACTACTGTCACTGAACATAGATGACTGATCTTTCATTTTTCAGTCCAACGGCTCAGTCTATATGCTTTACAATGACGCTCCACCAGAACTGAAGTACCCAAGCAAGTATGGACATACAAAAGGTGCATTTATGTGTGACAATGTACAGTACACACATTTACAGATTCCAACAACAATTTTAGATTTTGTTGTTCACTTAATACTGTCCTTTCACTTTTAGTTATGGCACAAAGGCGATGCCTAATAAGTCATGTTTTGTAAAAAAAAATGGCATAAATGGTTTAGTACAAGTTTCTCTCTCTCTCTCGCTCTCTCTCTAACTTGGCTGTGAAGCAAGTGGGCATTATTGCAGTAAATGTATACAACGTATACACACATTTACAGATTCCAACAACAATTTTAGATTTTGTTGTTCACTTAATACTGTCCTTTCACTTTTAGTTATGGCACAAAGGCGATGCCTAATAAGTCATGTTTTGTAAAAAAAATGGCATAAATGGTTTAGTACAAGTTTCTCTCTCTCTCTCTCTCTCTCGCTCTCTCTCTAACTTGGCTGTGAAGCAAGTGGGCATTATTGCAGTAAATGAATTGGCTTATTCTTGCTCTTCGCATACCCTCAAAACCAATTGATACATTAAATAAGCAAGATTTGAAACTTGTAAATATTGTATCCAACTGTATGGGGTAATTGGATTGTCATGTATATGATTTTTTGCAGGCGTGCTGATGTTTGACCACTCTCAGGGATTTTGGCTCACACACAGTGTTCCTCATTTCCCTCCATTTCCAGAGAGAAATTACAGTTACCCATCTACAGGAAAATACTATGGCCAGACTCTGCTCTGTATTACATACAACTATACACAGTTCCCTCAAATATGTGAGCACATGCAATTCTTATTATATAGGATATGTTTGATTTAAAGTGTGGTATAATTTATTGCTCACTGTCTGAAATAAGTATTACTCTCTTTTAACAGCATGGCAGTTAGCATATCTTAATCCACGTATGTATAACTGCTCTGTCCCTATGGCATTTCGCCCAGACATTGCAGTCATGGCACAGATTTGTGATGGTAAGACACCTGCCATTAAAAACAGAAGAAGTCTGCAGAAGCTGAAATCAGTTCGAGGACAAACTTTTTTCAGTTTTGCCAAATCACACAACTATGTGGATGGTGAGTGCTCTCAAGTTCAGAAACTCTTCTATATATTCAGGCTGATGGTCCTACAGCAGTTTATTGACATTGCATTATGCCAAAGTACCATTTACATTGGTTATGTAACCATCCCAGCGTGCAAGGCTCAAGTTCAGTCCCTACATGTTTTTCACATACCACTGTATGACCATTATATAATATGAACTGTCTTTTTCAAGACACAACACTAGACAATATATTATTACAATGTTACATAGTATGTTATTTCTTATTTCTTATTTCTTACTATTCCCATCATGATACAGTAGGCTAAAAGCTAGTGATCTATAATGTGATTTTATCATTGTTCCGTCATAATTTAATCCCCATCATTCCCCAAATGATTAATCGCATTTGATTTTCCTTCTGTGAAACACAAAACTAGAAATCATGAGATTATTTTTCTATGCAAAAGCAATAAATGAGGACTGCGAGTTTCTTTCCTCAAACAAGCACCAGTTGCTTTCGAAGAAAGAAAGAAAGTTTTTATCATTTTATGTTTGTTTTTTTCCAAAGCTGTATCTGCTTCAGGAGGCTTGGTAAATGGCAAACAAGTTGTGTCAGTCCTTATTCATTGTAATTGTAAAATTGTCAAAATTTTGTGGTTTTTGTGTTCCGCAAAACGTAAAAGTGAGTAAGTGATGAGAGGATTTTTGGCTAAACAGTTTCAGGTAAACTATTCCTTTAACATGAAACAGAGTTATAGGTTAATAAGAGTATAACTCCTCTACAGATATTTACACCGGTTGGGTGGCTCAAGCATTGGGGACAGATCTGCTGGTGGAGTCATGGCTGCACCAGGCACATCGGCTCCCCTCGAACTGCTCTCTTCCCCGGCACGTGATGAACATTGACAGAGTTTGTCTCCCAGGACCGCAGATGTTCAGAAGCTATGAGGATCATTCAAAGTGGTGTGTGTCTTATGCATTCAAAGACCAGTGGACATGTCTGGGGGACTTGAACAGAGACAGTGGCCAGGCTGGCAGAGGTGGTGGGCTGATATGTTCTCAAAGCTCAGTCATGTATAAAGCTTTCCGTCAGGCCATGGCTGGGTATAAACACTGCTGAAAAATACCTTCAGTACACTGAACAAGCTCCAGACTTTGGAGCATGCATTAACCACTGTTGAAAACCCTGGTTACACCAGTTTTAGCCTATGCCCAGATGCAAATATAAAAGTTGATAAACATAACAGAAACAAAACACACGCACACAAAATGGTAAATTTAGGCTGATGATTGTGGTGGGCATCCAAACTATAAACAAAAGAAAAACTTTTCATTTTTTAAACCGAGTTTTAACATTGTTTTATTTTGTTTTGAACCTTTGAAACATGTCATTCCAAACCCGTATATGTTAATATGTTTTGCAAAACACAAAAGAAAATACTTTGAATAATGTTGGCAACCAAACAATTTTTTATCATTGACTTCCATTGTAGGCAACACTGTAAAGAAATATTTATCACTGGAGTGTTTAACAACCAGTGTTGGGGGTAACGCATTACAAGTAACGCGAGTTACGTAATCTGATTACTTTTTTCAAGTAACTAGTAAAGTAAATTTTGTCCCATGTCTCAAGAATGACTGTTAACTGAATGTGCACTCTTAACTTCAGCCAATCAAGCATTATATTATGATATTATGATAATTAAGCACTATTTAATGATAGAACTAGTGATTAGAACTAAAATTGGTAACCATAAATGAATGCATGCATATTTGTCATTTTAACTGAACTTAGGACTGGTGGTGGTGTTTAAGATATTGTTGGTCATAGGTAATAGTAATTATTATTAAAAGATACTACTACTATTATCTGCTGGGTTCATGAATATTAATCACGTTGTCAGCGTTCGCTCGAACTGATTTGCTGAAATCAAAACGGGGACGGTAATAGATGAGCGCCAGCCAACGAGAGCTGTTCGCGCATTAGCTCCGCCCACTGCCGAGAAACCGGCATATCTTCTGCTTGTTCTTAAAAGCTGAATAATTCTAAATGAACTCCGTTATTTTGACAGGAAAATACAACAAAGAATATGGTTTACATGAAGCGCGTCGACTGAGCCGAGGTATGCAAGACTCTCGCTCTCTCTCTTTGCATGTGTGAGAAACGGGGATTGAAATGAACTTTTTCACTCACCAGCCAATTTGGCTACTACATTTTTAAGTTATCGGCCATTCATAACTTCTACTAGCCAAAAACAAAAAAGACAAATAAACCAACAGTTTGAGGCCGTCTACACTGGGCGTGACAAAGCGACCTTTGCAAATCATTTTGTCAGTACTAGGGGGTGTGCGATATTGACAAAATATCTCAATATTTTCTGTGATTTTATCGATAAAGATAATTAGACGATATTTTGCTGAGTGTGTTATTGTGCTGATATCTTAAGGACTACCGTGGACAGCTGACTGCTAACGTTTTTTATATTCTTCATATTCTGTGTGGTCAGTTCACAGCAGTGATAGAAATTAATCTTTTCCAATAAGTTTAAATTGATTTTTAACTTTTTTGGGCATTCTTTCCTTTTATAAAGCCATTTTTTTCTAAAAGTGTACATCATCTTTTGAGTCAAATGCTTACATTTAATCAGTCAATTATAATAATAATACATTTAGGCTGTTACTAAACAAATTAAATCAGTATCAATAAAATGAATCTTTGCAGAAGTTGCATATGAAGTGGCATTTAGATGCGTTTACACGTGTTAATGCAGCTTAGAGGGACGTGGAATGCTTTAAACTGCAGTTACAAATGCATAACAGTTTATGGCCCCTGTTAACTTCCATAGTACTTTGTTCCATACTATGGAAGTCAATAAGGAGACCAGCAACTGTTTGGTGACCATCATACTTCAAAATATCATCTTTTGTGTTCAGCAGAAGAAAGAAACTCGTACAGGGTGATGATGACGGTAAGTAAATAATGACAGAATTTTCAGTTTTGGGTGAACCATCACTTTGAGACCAAGTAAATCTATATCACAGTTTCTCTGTGAAAACTATTTCTTTTTAAAGTAAAATCTTGTATTATAATGATATTATGATCTATATGGTCTAACATTTTTTTTTATTTAGTAAAGGAATAAAAAAAAATCTTTTATTTTTTTATTTATTTTTTTTTTTTAAACCACGTCATGGTAAAAATGTTTCATTGTACAATAAATTATTAAATTGAGTTTATCTATTACATCTGCTTGACATTATTTTTTAATGCATGCAATGAGGCTTTTCTATTTTTAAAAGAATGTTTTCTTTGCCTCTGAGGCCTCTCCATGGTCTATATATGATAGCATGGCATCTATATTCAATGGTGCCTCCAGAGAATATTTAATGGTGTGGCCAGAGGGGCAGTAAATATCCTAAGTTCGAACGCAAAATCATACTCACTGAGAAAAAAAAAAGGTGGTAACCTGCTTTTGTTGTTTGTACTTAGATGTAACCCATAAAAATTACTTCAGTTGATGTAGTTTGTCAGGGGGATATAGTCAAATTAAATGATTTCATTGACTTGCACACCACTAGTAAATTTAAGTGTCACCACATAAAGCAAACTATTTAGGTTTTATGAAAAGAAAAAAACTAAAACTTTTGTAGCATGCACTGTAATAAAGCATTCACTGTTTCTGGAGATTACATGTGTAAGTACATTTATTCTGCCACTGTGCATTGAATGTCTTGTGAAGTACATACTTGTCGCTTCAGATTCTCAATTCCATTTGGTGAAAAGCGAATATATTAGTATTAAATTACGATAATTAAGAATTTAGTTGTGGTATGTATGAAACCATTCAGTAGTGAATGAAAAGCAATCATTTTTAATTCAGTTAAAAATAAAGCTGATTATACTGTATATGGAGAATACACTTTGAAAGTCATCCGATTTCCTGTTTGGCGTTACGGGGATTTAAAGACTTCGGTTTGACCTGGGGTGACTAGCTCTGAAATGAGAAGGAAACTAAAACATGATTAACTTACTTCATGTGTGCTTGCTTCAGTTTTGTCATTTTATTTTTCAAAGTGATTCTCTTGTGATCATGCAGTACGATTAAATTGCATGCAAAAGCGAAGTGGAGTTTGAAAGGGAAAGTCGAAGTGAATAAATACTGTATGGTTACTGTTGAATTTGTGTAAAATATACTTTTTTGTGTAAAAAAGTCCATGTTTGATAACTGTATTATTCTATATCAAATATGGATGTAAGGGTCATGGCTATATGTAATAACGTATGTGTTAACCTATATTATATAACCTATATTAGTCAATGCTTCTAGAAGTAAATAACATTGTTATTAGAGGTCGACCGATATGTTTTTTTTTTTCTCTGGCTGATGCCAATATTTAAAAATCAAGGCAGCCGATGGCTGATATATGATGCCGATATGTTTGGCCGATTTTCTTTTCTTTTTTTCTCCCCTTCATCTCATAAAAGAGAGTTTGAGTAAATATTTATTGCAAGGTACAAGATAGTAATAGTAGTAGCCTAATTCATAGTAATTGATACATGGCTCAAAACAGTTCTGAAGCATTCTTTTTGTTTATGTTTGCTATAAAAATGTCTGATGTCATATGCCTGATGAAGGTCAGTAGACTGAAATGTTGCTTTTGTAAATAAACTTCAATATTTAGCAAGGATTGATAGTGTGCAGTAGGGATGCACCGAAATGAAAATTCTTGGCCGAAACCGAAAAAGAGGAAATTAAAGTAAAATCTTGTATTATAATGATATTATCTATATGGTCTAACATATTTTTTTATATAGTAAAGGAATACCAAAAATTTTTTTTTTTAAACCACGTCATGGTAAAAATGTTTCATTGTACAATACATTATTAAATTGAGTTTATCTATTACATCTGCTTGACATTATTTTTTAATGCATGCAATGAGGCTTTTCTATTTTTAAAAGAATGTTTTCTTTGCCTCTGAGGCCTCTCCATGGTCTATATATGATAGCATGGCATCGATATTCAATGGTGCCTCCAGAGAATATTTAATGGTGTGGCCAGAGGGGCAGTAAATATCCTAAGTTCGAACGCAAAATCATACTCGCTGAGAAAAAAAAAAGGTGGTAACCTGCTTTTGTTGTTTGTACTTAGATGTAACCCATAAAAATTACTTCAGTTGATGTAGTTTGTCAGGGGGATATAGTCAAATTAAATGATTTCATTGACTTGCACACCACTAGTAAATTGTTAACTGTAAAACTTTAACAACAACAAATGCACCAAGAATTGCAGATATGCAAAGTGGATAATAAATATTTAAACACTAGACAAGCCCATTCTACTTTGAGGTAAAGTGGCAGGTTTTTCTTGATGAAAAGTAGCTTCTCTGCTTTATCACAGTGAAGTCCGTGTTGATTATGTTTGCTGACAGACACCAGCGTTTCCCACAGACTTGCAAATGCAAATTCATTCTCTGCCAGCAGGAGGCGCTGTTGGAACAGGAGATATAACGACTGTAATTTAATAAGCGCTTCGTTCACAAACGTTACTTTACCAGAAACACTGGACACTGCTATAAGTCAAATGGCCATAATCTAAGTGATGATAAAAATAAGAGTTCAGACATATTACACAGCCTGCTGCTCATAACTGCTTAAGGGGCCATTCACATGTCACGTCTTTTGGGCACTCAAGTTCGTTATTTCAAATGTAAACGCACGTTATGCGCGCTCGTGGAAGCGACGCGGTATGACGCACTCGTTTTTTCCAGGAGCGCAAGCTACAGAGCGCTTTGGAAAGAAGGAGAAAGCGGCGCACCTAGTGGTTTCCACGCTTTTTTAGGCGCGACATGTGAACGGCCCCTAAGAGTGAACTGACCACTAGCGATGACATCGTGGAGGATATTGTCGGACCCACAGACACATTTCATGAGGAAAGTCAGGGCCGCTGCTGGCCAAATGGGTGCCCTAAGCAGAATTGTATTGTTGTGCCCCCTCCCCCAAATATTTTGGAAAAAAAACTAAACAAAAAAAAACACCTACTATAGGTGTCAAAATAGAACTTTAATAAAACAAAAGTAAATAAATAAATTGTAATTGTATTATTTACAAATTACAATTGTAGCTCTACAGCAAAAAAAATTTACAAACTAAAATTACACACATTAAAACCTTTTCAAAGATTAAATATGATCAAAATAAACAATTGAATAAAAAATCAACGGCAGTGGCTATTTTCACTATTTTTAAATAGCAATGATTCTATTTACACTATAATTAAAATAGCAGGTTTTCTGCTATTTATACTACTTATTGCAAATAGTGGCAATTATCTGTACCTCAGTATTGTGGTAAATTATAAAACGGTATGCAAAAATAACATTTTGAGTTTAAATTAAATTATAATTTTAATTCAAATTTAAAAAATGGATGTTACCTTATTGGGACAATAAAGCCCTCCCTACACCTACCCTAACCCTACCTGATACTTTATTTTAAACTTTTCGATTATTTCCTTCATTTTTATTAAAAATAAATGCCTTTCCGATGCGATATGAGATTTGAAAAGGGAAAAAAAAAAGTTTGGCAAAAGGCGGCTTCGAACTCTGGTCGATCGTGTCAAAACAACTATGGCACACGCTTTACCATCTAAGCCACTGGAGCTGTTGCTAGTAGTCTTTTGTAGTGTTGACTATTGCAATCACACGTAAGTGGGCAGAGTTAGTCTAAATAACTTCTGCCAACAAGGCGGGCTATTTGTACTTAGTGTAAATAGACACTCCGAAAATCAACACTGATATACATCATCTGCTCGAGCATTCCAAATTTCACACTGCTAGGCACACTAGTGCTACTACTGCTTTTTCTGGAGGCAAAGTCGTCAATGAGCTCATCATATGATAATTAAAACATTAACGTTAAACGTTAACGTCAACAGCCAAAAAAGTTTCACAGGATTATGGACATACCTGAAAGTGATGCACGGGCTTCATCTTGGGCTTTTTTACTTTTTCTTTTCTCGACGCCGGAAAGCTGATGGGTTTTTTTTCCGGGCATAGATGTCCATTATGATCATTTGCAGTCAGCCGCAAACATGAGGTGAGGGCGGCGCGGGCGCGGTAATGGAGCATCACGTGTAGCCTACTGACTACTGCGTTCACTGTAAAATATATATTTATATATAATTATGTATATATGTTCATGTTTATATTTGTATTTATCTATATGCATATGTTAATATTAGTATAGAACGAAAGTTTTTTTTTTTAAGCAACTGGGATGGTGCACTACGCAAACTGCATACTCTTTTTATAGGGAGCGGCGGTACTGAGCAATGTTAACATGCACGTTTTAGTCAGCCTCGAAGTTTCGTCTAAATTCTTTACTTTCACTTGCAAATGAATTGTTGCGCTTATGAAATTATGTATATATGTTCATGTTTATATTTGTATTTATCTATATGCATATGTTAATATTAGTATAGAACGAAAGTTTTTTTTTTTTTAGCAACTGGGATGGTGCACTACGCAAACTGCATACTCTTTTTATAGGGAGCGGCGGTACTGAGCAATGTTAACATGCACGTTTTAGCCAGCCTCGAAGTTTCGTCTAAATTCTTTACTTTCACTTGCAAATGAATTGTTGCGCTTATGACTGTTAAGCGCAGTCGGCATCAATTCTAGTAGAATAAAACGTAATTACGCTTTCGAAATGGTCTATTTTGCCCTGTAATCATTAGCTGAAGCTGTGTGTGAACAAGGCGCTGCTGCAGAGTGTGAGCTACTCCGTCTCACGGCGTTCCACAACAACGCTTAGCTGCCCGCAGATGCACCTACCTATAAATCTGCCTAATTTGCAGCACAACCGGCCAATGCCGATTAATTAAAAAATGCCAAAAATCGGTCAATTAATTGGTCGACCTCTAATTGTTATATTGACAACCAAACCATAAACGCACAACTGGCTTAATTTCTAGGACATCACTGAAAATAATTTACAAAACAAACAAACTGCGGTTCAGTGAGTGAGTCAAATGTTGATTCAGTAAGCACTCTAGAGGTTTCATTCAGTATTCATCAGACTGATTTGAACAGTAACGTGTGAGTTTTTGAAGAATGTATTAAATGGACTGGTTCATTCTTGCTATGCATGGTCTTTTTGACTTATCACATTCAGTTCACACCATGGACTTGTTCACAACTTGGATTAAAAATAGGATCTCTTTTGCACAAAACAACAGCATTACTTTGATCAAAACAATACTCATATTTCTAGCAGTGTGTCATTTTAATTGCCCACCTCAGTTGCATCAAATTTGCAGTTATTTTGTTGCAAATGAAAGAGTTTGTTGCAAGTCATTATCAGAAAATTGTCGGTCTCTTTTAATTTGGTTATTTTGTTTTCTTTATTGGTGTTTCAATATATTTTCTCTTTTTCAGGCTCCACCAAAAGAAGTTCCCAAGACAATAGAAAACCAGAGAATATACGATGAAACTACAGTCAACCCAGAGGATGAGGAGGTAATTTGTGAACCCTATGCTGACTGCTTCGGTAGACCTCATGTACAATTTTGAACCTAACCTGGAACTGATTTGTTTGAAATCCAGGTGGCTTTTGATGAAGGAACCGATGAGTTCTCTGCTTACTTCAGTCGGCTGACAAATCCTAAAGTTCTCATCACCACATCAGACAGGCCCAGAGGAGTGGGTTCAGTTTACTGTTCTGTTTTCTACTTCACTCGTGTTATGCATGATGAGCATTTTAGAATGGATATATACTTCAAGTGTTTTGTTTTTATGGGTTCATATCTGCCTGTTTTCAGAGGACCGTGAGGTTTTGTGAGCAGCTGGCTACAGTGATCCCACACGCTCATGTGTACTACAGAAGAGGTCTGGCTTTGAAGAGAGTCATTCCACAGTGTGTATCTCGAGGTTTCACTTATGTGATGGTGATCAATGAGGACAGAAAAGTGCCAAGTATCCTTTGGTCAGACGTCAGTATATAACCATGTTTTTAGATCTGTGAGATTTTGTTGAATCGTCGTCTTAATGAGGTCATGAGAAGCAGTCACTGAATGCTACATGAAGGATTTTCCCTCACTTAAAGTATCACAGATGGTTTGGTTCTCTGTCACCTTCCTGATGGGCCAACTGCACATTTCAAAGTTAGTAATGTTCGTCTTCGCAAGGAAATGAAGGTTAGTGAAATATTATTTGTGTATGTGTGTTTTTTTTTTTATGAAATTAGTCATGCAGTGAATTTTGATGGTCCATGTTGTGCGATACAACTTAATCACATAATCATTGACTAATTATATCAATGGAGTTCGGCAAGGATGACATATTTCTGTAGTTCAAACCAGAAGCATACCCTGCTTCTCTTGACAAAAAAACTATTAGATTTTTGGATAATGGCAGAAAATAAGTTTTGTTGTTTATCATGAAAATGAAGCCTAAATGCAGTCGAAGGTTAGGAAATAAAGAACCATGGCCACTTGACTTCAACATCACTGCTGCTAAGCTTCAGACTTAGAATAGTTTTTAAAAATGCAAGTATAAATACATTAGGGCTGTAAAGCACAAAAAAAGTTTTTATCTGCTAAACATGATGATATTTAAAGTCCCTAACAGCCTCTAATACTTTAGTAGGGCTGGGACAATAAATCGATGCATCACGATTCGTGGATCGATTCTGAGATTCTCTCTGGAATTGATTCTGAGCTTAGTTTTTACCAGCAGATGGTGCACTAGGCTAGTTTTTAACCGCACACTCAAATGCTCGTGAAGAAGAACCCATGTGTGTTTGTCATGTAAGTGGTTAAATGTACTTTCACCTTGGCTTTTATGACACAAGAAAATAATGTAAACAGCCCACTGTGAACACCCTTGTAATTCACTTCGACTTTTTCGAACTGAATGATTATTTTATGTTTCAAGTGGTGTGTAAGGAATTGGAAGCAAGCAGAGTATGGCTGTTTCTAAAGCACGCAGTGCCATCTGCTGTTACAAACTAAGCTCAGAATCGTGATGTGAAGAGAGAATCGTGATGCATTCGGAAAATGTGCAGAATAATTACTCGATTCGCGATGCATCGATTTATTGTCCCAGCCCTACTATTTAGCCACTTATTAGCAACTACCTTTTTCAAGATGTGCTAAAGAAAAAAAAAATCACAAGAGGCCATTGCTGATGCATTTCATGTCGTAGAATAAAAAGTGAAAATATTGTCAGCTTGTGTTAATCACAACTTGTTTCAGGCATTTACCAAAACCCCCCCCCAAAAAAAAAACTTGGGATTATGAAATAAAAAAATGCTTAATGCCAACTCCTGTTTTTACTCACTAGAGAAGAGGTAAGGAGCCAACGGAACACATCCCAGAAGTCATCCTTAACAACTTCTCTACTAGACTCGGTCACTCCATCGGCCGGTTGTTTGCTGCTCTGTTTCCTCATGATCCACAGTTTGTGGGCCGTCAGGTTGCCACATTTCACAATCAGAGAGACTTCATTTTTTTCAGGTTTCACAGGTAAATATTCTCTCATTTGAAAGGGCTGTGTAATTGTGAAAGCTTACACATATGTAAGATTTGTTAGTGTAGTGAATGTCTCAAGGAGAGGTAAATTTATGGTACCTGTTGTGATCAAATATGTTTTCATCTACAGATCACTGTAGATTCTTAAAACTGATGTATGAATGTATTGTAGTAAAAATAGAGACATGGTCAGAATATCAAGTAGAGTCCAAAAGTCTGACACTGCTTTTAGGGTCCTCATATTTTGCATTGTTACATTTTAACAGGTTAAAAATTATATACAGATTAGGAACTTCTATTTCTACATGACTGAATAAACGTATGTATATCATACAGGTACATCTTCAAGAATGAAAAGAAAGTGGGGATACAGGAGCTAGGACCTCGCTTCACTCTTAAACTTCGCTCTTTACAGAAAGGAACCTTTGACTGTATGGTACCTGTTGTGATCAAATGTTTTCATCTACAGATCACTGTAGATTCTTAAAACTGATGTATGAATGTATTGTAGTAAAAATAGAGACATGGTCAGAATATCAAGTAGAGTCCAAAAGTCTGACACTGCTTTTAGGGTCCTCATATTTTGCATTGTTACATTTTAACAGGTTAAAAATTATATACAGATTAGGAACTTCTATTTCTACATGACTGAATAAACGTATGTATATCATACAGGTACATCTTCAAGAATGAAAAGAAAGTGGGGATACAGGAGCTAGGACCTCGCTTCACTCTTAAACTTCGCTCTTTACAGAAAGGAACCTTTGACTCAAAGTTTGGGGAATATGAGTGGGTTCACAAGGTGCGTTCTAAATCTAAAATCTGGTTGTTTGAATGTGCTGTTATTTGTCAGTAATTTGTGTCAGTCATACATGATTAACTGCTCCTTTAAATGTTTTAGCGCCATGAGATGGACTCCAGCAGAAGAAAATTTCATCTTTAAGGGACAGACTTCAAACACAGGACAGCCATGTTGACGTTTCATTAATTATCTAAAAATCTCTTATGGAAAGAAAGTGTTGTAGAAACACAAGCTTTGTCTTTACTGTATTATATTTTCTGCTAAGCATTTGTTCATAAAAATATTATAACCAGACTGGACACAAAGAGGCTTGGTGTGTCAAGGCATGACAAATAAATCAAGTTAAATACATAAGGTTTTTTTTTTCCCCCTCTAAATATTTGAGTAAAGACATGGGTGGAAGAGGCAGGTTTGTGGTGAGTGTTTGTGAAATTTCAGGTTAAAAAAAGACTGATGTCTTGTTCTGTTGCAATTTTTCAATACTGAAGTTAGGCTATACACAAATACATTCAAATATGCATGCAACAAACCCTTGGAAAGACTTAACTAAAGCTGTCAAAACTAAAGCTTGTGCCGTCAAATGATTAATCACGATTAATCGCATCCAAAATAAAAGTTTTTGTTTACATATGTGTGTGCGGTGTATATTTATTATGTGTATATATACATACAGCATATTTATGGAAAGAAAGTGTTGTAGAAACACAAGCTTTGTCTTTACTGTATTATATTTTCTGCTAAGCATTTGTTCATAAAAATATTATATCCAGACTGGACACAAAGAGGCTTGGTGTGTCAAGGCATGACAAATAAATCAAGTTAAATACATAAGGTTTTTTTTTTTCCCCTCTAAATATTTGAGTAAAGACATGGGTGGAAGAGGCAGGTTTGTGGTGAGTGTTTGTGAAATTTCAGGTTAAAAAAAGACTGATGTCTTGTTCTGTTGCAATTTTTCAATACTGAAGTTAGGCTATACACAAATACATTCAAATATGCATGCAACAAACCCTTGGAAAGACTTAACTAAAGCTGTCAAAACTAAAGCTTGTGCCGTCAAATGATTAATCACGATTAATCGCATCCAAAATAAAAGTTTTTGTTTACATATGTGTGTGCGGTGTATATTTATTATGTGTATATATACATACAGCATATATTTTGGAAATATTTACATATTTATATTCTTATAAATATATTTAATATATAAACAACATTTTTCTTAAATATATACATGCATGGGTTTGTATTTATATATACATAATAAATATACACAGCACACACACATGTAAACAAGAACTTTTATTTTGGATGCGATTCATCGTTTGACAGCACTAAATATATATGTGTGTGTTTATGCAACTATGTGCACTTATGACTCCAAAATATGAAAAAAAGTCAACCCCTGTGAATTTTATTTTAACCATCAGAGTCTAATACATATAAAAGGGTCAACAAAATTGCATGGAGTCATTAAGATTTTAATCTGGAACATGTTTTTTTTTCAACTCTTCTTACGAAATGTCCTTACCACAATGTTACAGTAACGTTCATTATATAAATTTTTCTTTTTTTAATTTCTATAAAAATGTAATTTCAATAGCTTTTCAAATTTTGTGCAGTTTTGTAAATACTGATATTAAAAAATAATATACAAAATAGGGGATTTAATTGTTTTCTCTATGCCATGTAAAATTTAGACCGTAACCTTAGATGTCAATTGTTTCCATGCACACTAAGGATAACATATTTAGCTTTTTATGACAGATGTTGCAATTTCAATGTGTAAATCATTTCAACTTAAGAGTTAAATTTTTTTTTTTTGCCGATAAAAATTGTAAAAAATAAAGCAGAGCTGCGGTAATGACATCTTGTGTCAGTAAGGACACAAAAACAGGCTACTGTAGAGAACAACAGTAAAAGAAACAGAAAACTGAAGGCATTGCATGTGGAAAAGATAGTAGTTTTGCAGTAAAGATCTCAAACTGTCATTACGAGCTTTGGTTCCAGGTGCATCTGTGGCACAGTTTCTTTGAAAGCCTGAAAACAACGCTTCTTGTTTTTTTCATCTGAGGCCACTGCCTTCTTCAGCTTGTGCTTTGCATCTCTGAGTTTGTAGAACATCTTTGATTGACTGATTTTTGATTTTTTATGCCCACTCTTAAAGGGTTAGTTCACCCAAAAATGAAAATTCTGTCATTAATTACTCCCCTTCATGTCATTCCAAACCCATAAGACCATCTTCGGAACACAAAGTAAGATATTTTGGATTAATTCTCAGATTAATTCTGAGAGCTCTCTGACCCTCCATAGACAGCAAGGATATTACCACGATCAAGGCACAGAAACATAGTAAGGACATCGGTAAAATAGTCCATGTGACTTAAGGGGTTCAACCGTAATTTTACGAAACTACAAGAATACTTTTTGTGTGCAAAGAAAACAATAATAACATAATTTATTCAACAATTCTTCTCACCGAGTTACCGTCTTCCACCATTTTGGAGAGTACTCCAGAACGTAATCAGCATTGTATACGTTAAGCATGCGCTTGCTGTCTACTGAACTTAAACAACGCTGATTACGTTCTGGGATTGTAAAATTACGGTTGAACCCCTGATGTCACATGGACTATTTTACCGATGCCCTTGCTACGTTTCTGTGCCTTGATCGTGGGAATATCCTTGCTGTCTATGGAGGGTCAGAGAGCAAAGATAGATTTCATCAAAAATATCTTAAATTGTGTTCCGAAGTTGAACGAAGGTCTTACAGGTTTGGAACGACATGAGGGTGAGTAATTAATGACAGAATTTTCATTTTTGGGTGAACTAACCCTTTAAGAGCAGCTGTCACATTAGGTGAAGCTTCTAGTGGAGCAGCATGTAAGTCATCATCAGATGGGGATAGTGCTGTGTCTGTTGCAACAACCTGATTTGAGGCATGCAGTACTTTGTGTTTTGCCCTCTGATTTCTTTTATTTAACCTCCACTGTTAAGATTTTTCTCTCTATTTGTCAGCTGGGAGACGCTCTTTATCTGTCCAATTTACTTTCTCTTTTTGTCACGTTCTTTTTCCTTCTGCAGATACTCTGCATACCTCTCTGGGTCTTTTCTCATTTCCTCTCTGCATTTCTTTGATCTTTTTGTTGATTAATTTGGTCTCATCTAGGGTTACAAAATGTCATGTTTAAATATAATTTACAATAGACTGAATATTTGTAATTTCATATACAGTAAACCTCGAACTTGTCTCTAGCGCAACACAAGGTTTTTACCGCAACACCTAAATTTGCTGCGCTAATGTTGCGGAAATGACATTTTTGCTAATATTGCAGCTATTTGGCAAGGTCTACTACATTAGTTTTGACTCTTAGCATTTTAACATACTTGTATTAAACAGTAATATAAATTTATTTTTAAAATGTAGTTCAAAGTACAGAATTACTAAACTGTATGGTAAGGACACACAATAAATACTGACAGAAATTATTATATTTACCTTATATTTTTTATAAAAGCCTTTTTTCATTGTTGCGGTAAGGACTCAAAAGTGTGGGACCCGCACATTTAGTTGAAAAAATCATAAAAATTATCAGTAAATACAAAATAATTTAAGATGCTGTAAATATATATATTAAACAATTCCATTTGAAATGTCAAATTGTAATTCAATTAGCGTGTTTTACGTATCTCAACATTGTGACCAGAGTTGTGGGACATGAACAAAAATGGTGTTTGGACCAGTGGTGTAGTCTAGTTTTTTGTAGCGAGTATACTGTGATTTTTTTTCCACCCAGCCTCATACTCACCGTCCCAGAGCGACACCCCATAAGCACCACCACACTCACTAATGCATACAGTTTGCATCTGAGAGCATTCTGAAAGACTGCTTGTGTGACATCAACATGTCAATTTTTTCATTTTTAAAAACATCTTTAAATTTCACAGATGCTGAAACTGTTGTTCATGTGTTTACGTCGTGTCTGGATTACTGTAACTCCTTTGTTTTATGGCCTACCCAAAAAAGTCCATAATCGCTTGCAGCTTATCCAAAATTCAGCTGCTCATGTTCTTACATTTACCAAAAAAGCTGCCCACATCGTATGTCAGCTATCGTATTCAGTTTAAGATTCTTGTTTTAGTTTTCAAGGCCCGTCATGGTTTAGCACCTTCTTATCTTTCTGAATTAATTCTCCCCTATGTCCCTGCCCATACGTTGAGATCGAGCTCTGAAAATATGCTTGCAGTACCCAAATTCTGGCTATCTGCATTTCCGCTGTCAAGCTCTGGAATAAACTACCACAAAATCTCTGTGTTGTCTCTTCACTCCAGACCTTTAAAACTGCTCTCAAAACTCACCTATTTACAATGTTTCTTAATTAATTGCTTGCCTTAATTTTCTGTTCTATGCTTTTGTAACTTATCTTGTATATTGCATATTATTTCACCTCTGTCTGCTGTTTTGCTGTTTATATGTTGTATACTATCTGTTATTTACCTTATGTAAAGTGTCCTTGGGTGTTTGAAAGGTGCTATATAAATGAAATATTATTATTATATTATTTATTTATTATAAGCAACACAAGACTTTAAAGGGGTCATATGATGCTGCTAAAAAGAACAGTGTTTTGTGTATTTGGTGTAATGAAATGTGTTTATGCGGTTTAAGGTTAAAAAAAGACATTATTTTCCACATACTGTACATTATTGTTTCTCCTCTATGCCCCGCCTTTCTGAAACGCGTAGATTTTTACAAAGCTCATCGGTCTGAAAAGCGAGGTGTGCTCTGATTGGCCAGCTATCCAGTGCATTGTGATTGGCCGAATACCTCAAGCATGCACCAAGAGCTTGTAACACCCCAAAGAGAAAGGAAAAATTGAAATCGCATCATATGACCCCTTTAACAGCCAATGACATTTACAGCTGGGGAGACTGGACTGATTTTCTACTATTGAACTCAGCCAGGTAAGAGCTACATTTACCCTTATATGTTATATGAACATGGTCCAGGTTTTATCAGCTGGCAATTTTCAATGCACATTTAAGAGTGCCTGTTTTTTTTAATTCCCTAGCCTTACTTTCAGTCCACAAGGCTGGCCAGGAGTTCTCATCTCTCTCATTGTCTGAAACAAGGAGAGCTAAACATTGTGTTCAGTTTAACTCCTGTACACAGACACACACACAGTATCTAAAGAGAAATATCAAGGGAATAATTTTTTAAAGGCTATACGGAAATCCTTGACCTTTCCTAGTGGGTATACGGCATATACCTGCGTATCACGTAGTTTGGACCTATAAATGCTTCATATTTTTATATTAAATCACATTAATCATTAATTATATTTTTTGTCAAAG